CAGTGACAATCCTGGGTGGGAGGGGAAGGACCTCGGTGAAAAAATGGAAACTCTGCAACCCTAAAGTGAAGGGAATGACTTTCTTTTTATTTCTTCAAAGAATGGCTTGCACCTACTAGGGACTAAGGAGGGCACAGCTTTACCTGGCTTAGAATTGCTGGTCCTTTCCATAAAAGCCCTCTAACTGAGCTGTAGGTTCTAAGCAGATGTCTCCAGAGCGAGCGATGCAGGAGCAGAGGAGGAAAAGACTGTGACCACGTGCTACAGGTTTGTCTCTGCTGGCACTCCCAGGAAGAGTTGGTAGTGGGAGAGCTGTGATAGGGAAGTGATAGAGCAAATGATACCAGCCATTTCAAGAGCCAGGGAATACCAGTGTAGGTATTTTTAAAGTAACAAAAACTGTATTTAAAGTAAGACAATTGTATCAAAACCTAAATGTCTCCCTTTCTGGATAAGTGGGATCAAACAAACTATTAACCTCTCTGTGTTTCAGTTTTATATCTGTAAAATTTGCGATGAGACGCTTTCCTCAAATAAGCCAGGAAAAGGTAGAAATCAGCACATGGCACCGTGGAAGCAAAACTCCAAAGGCACAAAACCTCATGGTAGTGGACTGTACACAGGGCATTCAGTTTCCACAGACAGCTTTTTACCTACCCAGAAACAAAAGAATTGATCCTTCTCTCAAGCAAGTAGGCAGCTTCAGATGTAAAATAAAAATCCACTTGGAATATTTCTGTACGTGAAGACTGCAAGTCTTTAGGTTCCATCAAAAGGCTGTGCTATAGTTAGGAGGGAGAGGGATAGAGGGTGGCGGGAGGGAAAAGGAGCTTTCAGTGGTACCAAGAGATCACCAGGCTGGCGGAGTTTACTGAAATGAAGACGTGTCCACTACACATTTGGTATACAAAACAGTGGGTTACCAAACAGCATATTTGGTATTGCCAATTTTTAAATTTTCAAAAACATATTAATATATAGAGATGTCAAGAAATCATCTCGAATGGTGTTCACTTAACTGCTTTAATCTGTCTCTGGGTATTATGGTATATGAGTTGGATATGTTGATTAGCTTGACTGGAGTAATCATTTCACAGTGTATATATATCAAAACATGACGATGCCTACCTTCAATATATTTGATTTTTTTCATAATTATATTCACTTTTTAAAAAAAGAAAAACATTTCCCAGGGAAATTCATGGAGGAGGAATACAAAAGGAATTCTGAGGTCTTTTGGGAGTGATGGAAGATTCAGCACTCCAGCTAAGGTGCATGGTTACTGATTGCTCCTTTTGCTGCTGCACAAGGCACTAGAATGATTTCCTCCTGTTTTTTTTTTTTTTTTTTTTTTTTTTTTTTTTTAACCGGTACCAGGGATCGAACTCACGACTGCCTGCTTGCAAGGCAGGCACTTATGCCACTGAGCTAAATCCCCAGCCCCTCCTCCTGTTTTTTAAAATGTTGACACTATTTCTCATGGGAGTTCGGTTTAAAAAATATTTGCATTAAAGTATTATTTATCTTGGGGAAAATAGGCAATACTCCTATTTCTGAGGTTAAATTATATTTTCCAAATTGCATTTGAGAATTGCGTGCACCAGTAATATCCCTTGGGTATTTAGCTTGCCTAGAACACTTGGGATTCAAATTAAGGAGTAGCATAAAATTCGTGTAAGCCACGGCAACCGAACATAATCCCATTTATAAACTGTCCACGCAAAGTGATCCAGTATTTGAAAAATAAGGGGTTTTGAAAAGGGCTTGATACTCTGAATACAATTTCTGAAATATTCTGTTAGGGAAATTCATTGACTTTTAAAATATCCTGAATCAAAAATAATAAAAATAAATAAGTTAAAACAAATTCTCAACGAGTGTAATTAAAATTAACCAAAGTTCCTGGTCTATTCCTGATAAGGAGTATGTTGTTTAATTTTTTTTTTTAAAGAGAAGAATTCATTTTTTAAAAATGGGGCAAAGTCCACTTCAAACGTTTTATTTCCGTCGCCCTTCGAAGAGCCTCCGGGGATTCATGTATCCAGGGTGCAGGACGAAGCAATCTAAAGCACAGCTCGGTCCTTTCATAGAACTTGTGTGGAGTGCGGCCCAGGGATGATAGGCGTCTGGAGCGAGGACCAGCGAGGGCAGGCGTCCTGGCTGGGTGTCTTGACTCCCACATCACCGTGGATACAAGCAGCAGAACGGCAGGCCGAGGCAAGCACTGAGCGCCCACGCGTGCAAGCGCAGTTGCATCCAACAGCGGGATCAGCGCGGGGGCGGTGGCCCGGGCCCGTGGGAGCTGGAACCACGAGCCACGCGTTCATCCGACCGCGGCTCCGAGACAATCTCAGAAATCTGAGCAGATTGTTTACTGCGCCCCGGGGCCGAGGGGTGGGGACGGGGAGGCCAGAGCTTGGGGCAGCGCCCCCCGTGGGCCCCGGGGAGGACAGCGAAGGCGTGGAGGCGCGGACGGCCGGGTCACGAGGTCCCGCGCAGGGGCGGGGGCGGCGGGCTCTCCTCGGGCGCGGGGCGGAGCGGAGCCGGGGCGGCTGCGGGAGCCGCTGCCCTTCCGAGCCCACGCCGGTCCCTGGCTGTGGGCGCCGGGCCGCAGGTGAGCTGCGCAGGGCGTCACCGGGCGTCAGGTGTCGCGGGAGCAGCGCCCAGCGGCGCGCAGGGAGGGAGCGCAATGTGGCGAGGCGCGGGTGACACACGCAGAGCAGGGGGTCCGGGTCCCCGCGCTTTGGCGCCGCGGAGCCCACGGGTGGGAGCCGGGTGCGAGATGCGCGAGCTGGGCGCAGCCTCGGTTCAGCCACCGGGCAGAGGTCAGTAGCGGCCGCGCGGCGGGAACCGGGCCCAGCAGGTGGCGAGGGGAGGGGGCGGCTCGGGCCGGTGGCGAGGACCCTGAGGGCGAGCGGGAAGCCACCCGGCCGGAGTCTGTGCCTGGGGAGGCCGGGGCGGGGCGCTCGGTGCGCTCCGGGCTCGGGGACGGTCTGGAAGTTGCTCGCCTGGCCACTCTGGACTCGGTGTCCCTTCTCAGAGGCTCGGGAAGGGCAGGTGGAATGGGATGCGCGTAAGGTCCCCGCGCTGGCGGAACCCAGGGACCAAAGCGCCAAGGGGCAGCGGGCCAACCCTGGGGATCCGCGCTGCGCAGATCCAGTCTCGATGCTGACAGAAAAAAGATGAATAAGAGAAAGAAAGAGAGGAGACACTGAGTTCTGGGTCTGCTGATCTGGTAAAGTGGGAAGGCGCTGCCAAGAAAGGAGGTTAAATTACTTGGGCGCCAATCGTGAGACCCTTAGTGTTTACAGATCGCCTAACTTTCTGCAGCTCAGCCCAGCTGCGGTGAAGAAGTAACGTCGCTATCAGTTCCGAGAGCCCTCGGGTAGATTCTAAACCGTGCCTTGGCACCTCCTGCCTTCTGGGTACGGTAGAGGCAAGGGACCGGGAGCTGCCAGTCTGCCTTCAGCAGCTGGGGGGGGGGGGTCCCGACAGTTTGCAGCTGGTGATAGGAGTGCATGCTGGAAAGGGCTTTTTATGACAGGGTCTGGCTGACAAAGTGTAGTGGTCAGTCGTTGTGAATGAAACGTCCTGCTTCTGGAACAGCTTGGTGCGATGTGCGGAATAAATTAATGATGGTTGGCTCATTTTCTCTTTAATCTTGTGGGATACTGTTACACGGTGTGTCGCTGGTTTGTTTAAAGTTTAATTTTTCTCGCTATCAAAATGGAAAGGGCCTTCTGTGACTTCGAATCCGTAATTGGCAAAATACCTTATTTACAACTTTATCATTATGTTGATATTTATATCCAAATTTTATCAACATTAAATCATCTTCATTTTGATCCCATGGCGAAAGTCTGCGTCAATATTAGCTAAAATAGTTTACCTTTTTAAAGGAGGTTATAAAGTGTTCTTGAAAATCCCAAGGCATTATTTTTTGTCACATTTTTTGTCTTTACATAAGACATACCATATGGACTTTTTAACACACAAACATGAACCACATTCGAATGAGTTCTAATTATTTCACTTTTAAGACACCATATATGCCCTAGCTAAATATGTTTTATGCTTTATCTTCTCAGAAATATTTTTATTCATCTTTTCATTAATCAGAAGGTTAAACATTTTCCCCACGGCTAGTTTTTATAGCCCATATCTACCTTTGTTAGGTTTGCTAAGAAGTTGGAGTCCAAATCAAACATGAGTTTCTAGACTTGGAAAGTGTGGTACCTAAGCAGTGACTAGTCAGATACTCTGTTAATGTAGGTAAACGTCTTCCCCTTTCACTGCCGAATAAAAGTTATTATAAAAATATCAAACTCAAGTCTGGCTTTCTATTAAATATAGAAACACTCTACTCTCCTGGTGGTTTGGGTTATTTTATTTTGAACAGGTTTCCATTGTGTCAGTGTTAGTCTCAAGGATAATCCAAGATAGGTTCCAGGCTCTGGAGTGACTTTCTGTCACTTTGAAAAAGTTTCACCATCCTTTTTCACAGAGGCAAAAGGTATCATAGATATCAAATGCCATGAAAAGTAAGATGTGCTCCATAAATGTAGGGCTTTCCATGAAAAGCACATACAACTGATGCAATTGGTAGGGACCTGGACTGCAATCCAGCACCTGCCTTTCCCTTGATAGATAGATGTTTCTATTCCCTCTGTCTCACACTGCAGGAAAAACTTTGCTGGCTGTTTTGAAAGCTGCTCTGTTTGTTGGGAATGGAGGGGAGTGAGGTCACCTGCTTAGTGCTAGACTCCAGGCAAGAGCTTTTGCACTTTTATTTAAGGCTCCCTACAAGAATTTGTGAGTAAACTGAGGGTTTAGCTCAGTAGCACAAGTGCTTGCCTGCCAAGCACAAGGTCACACGAGTTTGATCCCCAGTACAAAAAAAAAAATTATTTGTGGGTAAATATTACTTCCATCTTGCATGAAAAGAAATTGAGGCCTAGGGTCGCTGAGTGACTTTCATGTGGAACCAGAATTAAAAACAAAATGGGATCTCATTTTTAAAGACTTGCTATTACCATTAACTCAGTGTTATTAAACTTTTAAAAAAATAATCTGGTGAAAGTTTTATTTTTTCTCTAGAGAAGGGGCCATGCCCTCATATATGCAAGCTTTTGCATATAATTTCAGGGTCTGCCTACTCTCTGAAGTCCTTATCCAGGCTCCTAGTTGCTAATCTTTGCTCTACTTTTGTTACTCAGTGATGCAGAAATATTACACATAATCTTTTACTAATAGAAGCAGCCTGTGAATTTAGTAACCTTCACATAGATGAGAATTACTTAGTAACTGAAACAAAGAGAAAACATGATACCTTACATTTCACTTGATTCCGTGAATACCTGAAGTGCAATTTCGGAAAGCGGTGCTCATTTGACAGCAGCTCTTTTGTTTGGACCTCTTCTGGCACAATTCTGCGAGAGCAAACAATATGGGCTTGTTAAATTAGTGGGTATGATGGTTTTTTTTTTTTTTTCTTCCATAGAGATGGCAAACCCGGAGGCAATGATAAGTAGCTGTAGTTCTCACGAAGAGGAAAATCGCTACACTATTAACCAGACTGTGTGTCCCTCTGAGGAACTTCTATTAGAAGACCAGATGAGGAGAAAACTCAAGTTTTTTTTCATGAATCCTTGTGAGAAGTTCTGGGCCCGAGGCAGAAAACCATGGAAACTTGCCATACAAATTCTGAAAATTGCCACAGTGACCATCCAGGTAAGCAACTCTAAGCCAGTTTGGTTTAAAAACAAAGAGAACAATGGACAGGTTTTTTTTTTTTTTTTTTTTTAAACAACTTTCAACTGCTTGCATAGTGGAGAAACAAATAAATACAATACTAACCCTTCTCATTTGTGGAAGATTTTGCTTTTTTTTCCTTCTTACTTTATTCTTCCTCATCTTTCATTACATTGTAATTTTAGTCACATACTCTAATTAGTTTTCAGGAAAGGGAAATTTCCTTGGCTTCTTGCATTTTTTGGAGAAACTATATTTTGCAATTCTTCCCCATACTGGCTGTGATTTATTCTTACAAAACTGGATTTTCCTACTGGGAAGAGTCATAGCTCTTGTTAAAAGCAGAAAAACAAAAATAAAAGTTTCTAATGATGAAAATAGTTCTTAGGTTTACTTTTATTATTTTTGTAAAAAAAATGCACAAGTAAATAAGTGAGTATTAAAAGGGAATTTAAAAAATCCTAACATTACTAATCTGAATTGTTTATTGAGTATGAATGATTATGACTGGTAACAGCTAAGGCAACTGCTACAATCACAATAGATTAGTAGAATTCTTGCTTAAGTTTCTGACACTAGATTTTAAGGGAAATGAACTTTTGGGTGACTTCTGTTCCAGTACATTATTTCACTTAATTCTAACAATGCTCTTATCAGGTGGATGATAGCTTCTCTCATTTTATAGATGAGGAAGTTGATATTTATAATTTTTAAAGCTATAAAAGCTATATTTAAGCTTATATATAAAAGCTGATATATAAGCTATATTTATAATTTTTAAAGCTATAAAATTAAGACTTTGAAAGCCCATATCAACTAAATGGGAATTATTTTTACACAGAGTAACAATTGGTAGCACTAGAATGTGTATCATAGTAAATATTTTATAGATATCATCATGTTCAATTCTTCAAACAAATTGGATGTAGGTAGTGGTATCTCTGTTTCACAGACAAGAATACTGACATTTGGTGGTTTCCTTCATAGTCCGGAAGACCAGAGGATTGGAACTGACATTCAAATTCAAATTTACATCCTTTAGTCCTTATACTGTTAATTACTTTTTCATCTTTTGGGATGTTTACCTACTTTCATATGTTTACGAGGGCAGTCAAAAGAAAAATTGGCCAATAGTTTAAGCCTGTTGGCAATAAGCATGAAAAAGCTACTGAGGTAAGTTTTAAAAAGAATTTCCTAATTGTGATGTTTCCTTATTCTGTATCTGAGCAATCAAATAAATCACATAAAGGCAATCTTGATATTGAGCAAATGAGAGCAATTTAGATTACCTCTTTTCAGGAAGAAGGAATCTTTCTGAAATTGGAGATTTTTTGTGTTCACATGAGAGGAACCCTAGTAAAATTTTCCCTATTCTCTCTGACTGGCTCAGTCTCTCCTTCCTTCCTTCCTTCCTCTCTCTCTCTCTCTCTCTCTCTCTCTCTCTCTCTCCTTCTTTCTGGATGGGTTGTAGCATTTCTTTCAGCCACTCTTGCTCCTGTCTGTCTCAGCCCTCGAGGTGAAGGATCAATTCTCTTTTCCTTTTATCCCGGATACCTTGCTCAATGCTGGCATGCAGAAGGTATTCATATAATTGAATGAATTAGTAAGAGTATCTTTGGGAAATCTTTGAAGATTTTTTTTGGTCATTGACTTTAAAAGATATGAAATCTCTAGACTTTCAAGCTCTCATCTTACTGTGATTTAGAGAGGGAACTTCGCTTTAAAAGTCTTTTTAGAAATGGGAGTGAAGTTAGGTGGCATAAGGAGGATAACAAATACAGATTGGGTCATACACCACTAGGGGAGGAGAAGAGGTTTCTTCAGACTGTGGATTGCTTGGATACATGATAGAACAGATAGAATTTAGATGTAGTCTGTCAGACACAGTTTCCAATTTAAACTGTATGACTGCTAGTGATGTGAGTTGACTATCTAGCTTTTCTGAGCCTTTTTGTACTCCTTGCGAATTATTACATTTGAAATTATGCTGTGGATTTAATAAATATGATAAGGAACTTTCTAGAACAGTGTAAGGGAATATATGCTCAGTGTTGGTCCCCCTTTCGTATAAAATATGACCTGCTTCATCCTGGGATCTAAATTTACACACACAAACAGGAAGGGACTGAGGGAGAGAGAGAGTTTGGAAAAATATGAAACAGATTTGGAGTTAATCAAATAAGCCTTTTGTGATTAAATACCTAGAAGAAGAATTTAAAGAAGGAAAGATTTATTTTGTCTCATGCCTTGAGAGGATTCAGTCTGTGATCAACTGGTTCCATTAATTTTAGGCTGGTGGTGAGGTGGAAACAACATGCAGAAGGGTGAGTTGAAGGAAAAGTTTAGCTCATGGCAGCCAGGAAGCAGTGGGTGAGTAAGCCGGTGAAGAAGGGGCTAGAGCTGAGATATAGTGTCAAGGCCGTGCCACATGATCTATCCCTTCTAGGCATCTAGTAAGTTTCCATTACCTCCCAATAATGCCATCAAAATATGAAGTTAGAAGCTGGGCATAGTGGTGCATGCCTGTAATCCCAGCACTCAGGAGGCTGAGGCACGAGGATCACTGTGAGTTCGAGACCAGGCTGGGCTACAAAGTGAGCTCAAGGCCAGCCTGAATTGCATAATGAGGCCCTGTCTCAAAAAGATGAAAGAAAAAATGAAGTTAGAGCCCTCATAATCTAATCACCTTCTGAAAATCCCACCTGGGCACACACAAGTCTTTTGGGGGACATTCTAGATCTAAACTATGACAACAGGTTTTTGGGTACGATTAAAAGAGCTTATATCACCAAGACAGCAGTGCAGTGGAACAAATTTTTTTTATGCAAACAATTGAGTTTTGTATAAAACTCTGGGGTCAATCCTACCTGAATATTAAGGGTACATTTTGTCCATGTACTTTCAGTGAGAGATAAATTGAAAAGATACTTTTGAGTTTTGATCTTACGGTCACAGGTTTGATAATGAGATTAGGAACAAGTATAGTTTGGTCTCAGGGTTTGTACTGTCTTATGGTGTGTTATCAGTCAGGCCCGAGCCTTCTTGATGTTCTCTGGGATTCACTGTGAACTCGTTTTGGCACTCAGGCCCTTGCACCACCTGCTTCTACTTTTTTGTTAAGATTGTTCACCTTCTTTTTTTTTTTTCTCTATTTTTCCTCTTCTTTTAAGCTGGTTCTTTTTGGTCTAAGTAACCAGATGGTGGTAGCTTTCAAGGAAGAGAACACAATAGCATTCAAACATCTCTTCCTCAAAGGATACATGGACCGCATGGATGACACATACGCAGTGTACACACAAAGTGACGTATATGATCAGATCATCTTTGCAGTGAACCAGGTAAATCAAGCATAACCATTCTTTTTTATTTATTTGTTTATTTATTTATTTTAATGATAGTAAAATACAACAAAGCAGGACAGAATAAAGCCAATCAAGACAATGCAGCAAAACTGGTACAGAACTTCAGAGCAGGTTACCAGAAAGACAATAATAGCTACCATAGCATATCTTGTTATCCTCACAAGAGTTGTCCATTCCATCAGGTATAGCAAAATCAAGCCAAAACCAAAACACAATAAAACTATCAAAACATTGAATAGAATAAAACAATTATTCAGAACAAAGCAAAACAATGAAAACAGTATTGGACTTCAAAGACAAGATGAAAGGAAATCCTCCATATCTGCTATATTGCATACTGTCACACCCAGAGAAATGCTCAGATGGTTGGCCTCAGGCCTACATAATCAACCAAACGATACCAGAATTTAGTTGCTTTATGTACCTTAGTTGCTATCAACTTAAGTGATCCTCTGAACCCTCCGGTTACTAAGGTGTGTGTGTGTGTGTGTGTGTGTGTGTGTGTGTAATTGCTGCTTACTAGAAAGGCTGGATCACTGATTTCTTGGATGGTCCCCCAAGATCTTGGTTGGTCCCACAAGTTGCAGCATGGCAGATTGTTGGGAGATGCTGGCTTTTCTCTTTCTGGTGTGCACAGCTTGCACTGCTTACAGTGAAAGCTGGATTGTTGCTTTCTTAGTTGGTGTCCCAAGAGCCGGCATGGTGGATTCTCGAACGTAAGCATTCTCTTTTTTTTGGTACTGGGGATCAGACTCACAACTGCGCGCTTGCAAGACAGGCATTTATACCACTGAGCTAAATCCCCAGCGCTGGCTGGGGAGGAACTGATTGGAAAAACAGTAGCAGTGCACATTATAGAAACTGGCCCTACAATGTAGAAGAGTAACCAGTTCTGCTTGGAAATGACTTACGCACCATACTGTCTTTAAATTTGTCTTAAAAATATTGACAGCAAACTTTTACAAACCTAGAAATTGAGAAAATCTTTTATTTAGTACCAAAAGACACACACTTCGATAACTTAATTGAAACACTCAGAGTTAGGCCTTCACACAGGAGCCCCAAAGATTTAAAATGGCTGAACATGACCTGGGAAGTAAGTAGTCATTAAGTCTTCCAATCTTATAATTTCAGAGGCTTTTACCAAGTAAGGAGGATATTAACTTTACAGAGATTGTATAGCAACCAACAATTCAAAGTTCATTTAAAAGTAAGTAAGTCTTTCATGTTGGACATGACAGTAGTTTTATTTTGATGCTAGCTGCCAACAAAAAGTAAGTTTATTTTCCATAGTGATGAGTTATATTTTTAGTCTGAGTTTCTAATCAATGAATTTATCAATGAATTTTTAGAAGTGATACTTTAACAAAATCCAAATTTAGCATTGTGTACATTTCACTGAAAGTGCTCTTAAAGTCAGTATTTCAGTGTGGGTGTCGTTTACAGGTTGCGCTGCATAATTATTACAACTCTTCTTCGAAGAACAATCATAGTATGACCATAACTCTTCATATTCCAGGGACAATCTGTACAGTGAGACACTAAATTGTTCAGAAACAATATGTCCTTATGGCACAGAGTGTTTCGTTAGCGTTTGAGAATGAGAAAATGAGTAATAAATATAAGCTGCATAAGTTGTTAAACAGAATTTTAACCTGGAATGGCTTAGTGTTGGAGAGACTCAACTTTGAGAATTTTGCGTGTATTACGTTTCTTTCACGTGACCAAATTAGTAGTTTGGTTTTTGTTTTGGCGGTGTGGAAGGTAGAGATAAGAGGTGAATGGTCCCTTATACACATTAGGCCCAAAGTCAGTCCTTAAAATACAGTGTTTGATACTGAGTCATTCTACTTGATTCTACTTGATTCTACTAGATTGCCATGATCTTTTTTTTTTTTTTGGTACCAGGCATCAAACTCATGACTTCACGCTTGCCCGGCAGGTGATTGTGCCACTGAGCTAAACTCCCGGCCCTGATTTCCATGATCTTTATATGTAGAAATCCATATATATCCCTGGTTATCTTTATCCTACTGCTATAATAAAATGACACAATCTGGATAGTTTGTAGATAGCAGAAATTTATTTCTTATGGTTCTGGAGGCTGGAAAGTCTAACATCAAGGAGACTACAGGCTCCATATCTTGCGTCTTCTTTCTGTGTCCTCACATGGTCAGATACTGTGATTGTGACACTTTTGCTTACATTATATTCTGAGTGTCAGAGAGTTGCCTTGTTTTACTGTATGTTGGCTTTGATATTATTTACTCCATTGTTTTGGGTCATCTTTGCTGGCTTCTTCTCTTAGTTGGGATAATTCTCAGAGATTTGTCCTTCCTCTGAAGCAGCTGCATTACCCAGCCTTGGTCGTGGCCAGGATGGGGCGACCCCCAAACAGTTATTCACACTGCTGCACAGCTCCCGGGAAGACTCCCCTATCCAAGAAGCTTCACAGTCTCTTCCAGCCTGCTGCCCACACTGGTTGCCCTTTCTGGTCCATTGCTTGGGTTAATCTTTAAAGGCCTCTGGGTCTTCTTGGAATCATTTACTCATACAGCTCACACGTTGTGCATAAATTTCTCTGTCTGATTGGGAACTCATCCACCTGCTTTACCACCTCTTGGTTATTTTTCCAGTGAATTCACCTAAAATCACAGCTCTCATTGCCTAACGCTTCTCATGACAGATAAATGTGTGCTTGTATCTGCAGCTCCATCTGTATCTTTATCAAACAGTGCTGAGCACGAAGCATTTGATGTGTTTAGTCTGTGAAGGTGGAGATGTAAAAGAGGCATTCAGCTGTCTATGAATAAGTTCAAAGCTTCATGCCATTTATTAGGATCAAACGACACAGAGGGACCACAAATAAGCAACATATAATCAAGGAGTAACCAGTTTTAATTTGCTTTCATTTTGATGCCAATCACTCAGCTAAAGACCTTTAATTTTGTTTTTATATTATTATACAAAGTCCGACCTGGAACCTTTGATTTGAGTGAAAATCTCTTGAGGCAGAGCTGCCCAGGCCAGAGGAGATACGTGTCAGCCTAAATAAACCCTGCAGAGGCCATGGCCACTTACATTCTCTGTGAAGCCTCCCCAACAACGCCTGGATCAACTGACTTCCACCCCAATTCGTGTTCCAGAATCCTTTGGCTTGCTCTCTTGTGTGGCCCTTTAGCTGACCACAGCCCTGCCACTTGCCCTGGACCATCCAGGTCTTGCCTGCTGCTTCGCAGAGAGCCTTAGACAGCCAGGAAGTCTAGCTGTCATATTGTCACATAATTTACAATGGTAAGCCTTGGGCTTCAGATCTTTTTCATTTTGAAATCTAAAAAGGCTCAAGTCACAAGATTCTGTGCAGAAAGTACAGAGGTTCAGGGGACTCTTGTGAGGATCACCCCACACATACCTAGAACCCATCACAGGTCTGATTGTAACTTCACAGTGTTATCTCCCACTATACACGCATACTGTGTCTAGGCTGGGAAACAAAACCCCAAAACCTCCATATCTCAGCATTAGACTATCTCTTCAGACCTGTACAACATAATACTGCACCTTGCTTCTCTTTCTGCAGACTTCTGGTTCATTTTCCCAATTCTGATGCTAGCAGAAAGCTTGAGACTGTAATCATGTATGTTATTCTTGAGATTTACTAACCCACTGTGCATAAAAAACTGTGATCAAGAGCTACCATCACAATATGAAAATTTCTCACTTTGCCATCAGTTTAACAAACGTTTGAGCACCTCCCATAACCCCAAAGTGCTGGCATTAAAGCACTAACTAAATAAATTCCCCTTTTTGTGGAGTTTGCATTCTAACTGGAGGGATAGATTTTTAAAAATTTGACCCAAATCATTTGATTTAAGGTAGTGATATGTGCCGTGAAATGAAATGAAGTAGCATAAGGCAATGATAGTGGGCTCTGGGTGGTCAGAAAAGGCTGTTCTGAAGATCTGGAATCTGGGGAAGAATATTCCAGGCTGAAAGAGTAACTAGCAGCAAAGGTCTAGGGCAGAAACATTTGGTGCATTTGAGGAAATGAGGGGCGGGAGCACAAGTGGGAGTGAACGTGGGGACTGCCAGAGAGGGGCCAGGGCCCAGCCTTTCCAGGCTTTGCAGGATTTAGAAGAGTTTTAGGTCTTATGCTGAAGGGGCCAGGAAGCCAGGGGATCTTTTGATAGGGCAGAGATGCTATTATATATAGACCAAAGCTAAGGAGTATTTGTTTGAATGTTTATTTGCTATTTCTGATATGTCACATACTTGTTTGGAAGAGGAATACTGCAGTAAGCCAATAGACAAAGTCAAAGAGGTCATATTTTAATAGGAAGAGACAGGCGATGAACGAGCACATAAGGATACCATCTGTCAGCTAAGTATTAAAGGAACAACATTCAGCCGACAGAATGAACACCTCAGGGTGGCCAGAGAAGGCCTCTTTGGAGAGGTGTCGGGGAGCAGAGAAGAGATAACAGTTGGGACAGGAGCTGGGAGAAGAAACTGTAAGCAAAGGAGGGTCAGGCAGGTTCTTGTACTATACTGTGTATCCGTCTTCTAAGGGTTGCACATCCATTGATTCAGTCATTGTTGAGTTCTTGATGGATTCTGAGTGAGAGAAGGAAGAATGGAAGCAGGAAGTGAAGAGGCTTCACCATGTCGAAGGGAGAGATAATGGTGTTAGACCACGGCAGTAGCGGCAGTGAAAGTGTAGGAGTGGGTCATGTGGTGAGGTGGCCGGAGCTTTGGTGAGTCCCATGGGATGTCAACACATGACCTTCCGATAGACTGGACGTGAAATGTGAGGAAAGGAACATGAAGGGCCTTTGCTAAGTTTGGTCCTGAATGACTGATCGGCTATGGTGTCATTTGTTGAGATGGGAATTATTGTGGGGAAGTAGGTTTTCCTGATGCACATTTAGATTCAAAATCCTCCTTAGATACCATAGGCATCACATAGGCAGACTGCTCCTCATAGAAGGTATTTGATGGAGAGATCAAGGCTGGAGATGTAAATTTGGAAGTCTTCAGTGTGTAGAAGGTGTTTTAACACATGAGACTGGCTGAAGTCACTTGTGGAGAGAATGTGGATACAGAGGCTGTAGGCTGAATCCAGGGAGACTACAAAGGAGAGAAAGACAGAGGAGGATTCACAAAAGGAGACCAAGAAGAATCAACCTGTGGCCCAGAAGTCAGAAGAAGAAGGAGAAGGACAAGGAAAAGAAGAAGGAAAAGGAGAAGGAGGAGAAGGAGAAGGATTAGTGGTCAGGGAGAAACATTCAACTCCATCAAACATGATGGAGAAATTAAGTTAGATAAGGGTTGAGAATAAGCCTTACACTTAGTAACATGCTGCTGATTGGTATCTCTGATGAGGCCTGGCTCAGCCTCTACCCCATAGGCCCAGATCATAAATTATTTCTTTCACTTTTCAAAGCCTGTTTCACATGCATCTTTAGCAGAATTGCTTTTCTGTGTCCATTGTACAAAAACACTAATTCTCAAGTGAGACAGATACCATTCCTTGGTTTTGTATGACCAATTGTGCAAACACATTGTTCACCATAAGCTATGAAATCATCTATGGAAATCCACTGAGTTTACATACACAGTTATTCTAAGGTACAATAAGATACTCACTTGTAAGCATAACACTTTATGTTATTTAGAAGATTAACTAAAACGAGAAATATTTCTGGTCATTAAACGTATTTTTGTCAAAATAAAGATTAATCTATATTTTTTAAAGAAGAAGTTCTAACGGTCCATTTGGAACAAATGTAGCCCATTTCTTAAATGATAGTAGTAAAGAACTCTGACTTGCCTTGCAGCAAATAGTTCAGTGACCAAATGTGTATTCACAATGAATGTGCAAATCAGTCCCTCAACACTGTTCTTTAAAGAGGAAAGAATCCCAAAGATTATGCAACTGTAGACTTCTGTTTTACTGATAAGGAGCCAATAACTCAGAAATTTTGTAACTAAGATGAGCCTTGAACCTCGAAGTCTAATGTGGGAGCGCTCTTTGCCTCCTTTCATGGTACTCAAGAGCAAGTCACACTCTACACTCAGCTTGGATATCTCCACCCTGCAGGGAGGTGGGCACCTGCCAGTGTGGGAGGTGGGGAGGTGGGGACATCCTGGCGTCCTTCTGCCCCCGCTGACATTCCATTTTCTACTTCCTTTGTGGCTGAAGTATCTGCAGCTACGCAATGTCTCAGTTGGGAATCATGCTTATGAGAACAAGGGTACCAAGCAGTCTGCCATGGCAGTCTGTCAGCACTTCTACAAGCGAGGAATCATCTGCCCTGGAAATGACACCTTTGACATTGATCCAGAAATCGAAACAGGTAATGTTCTAATGCGAGAGCTTTTAGTTTTTAACTCCTTGATTTACATTCAAAATCAGTAAATTTGTCTCTGACCACATTGATATGACCTGTGCAATGAAGGCAGAGTAAAAACTATATAAAAATTCTTATGTGTCGGCTTATGTGTTCTAAGCCCTTTACTGTAATTCAGGAATCCTCAAGGAAATCTAGATAAGGCAAGGTTTATTATTATCTCTATTTTCCAGAAAACTGAAGCACAAGTTGGAGAGCCAAGTGACCTACTCAGGGTGAAGTAATAAGAGGCACCCCTAAGCTTAGCCATGTACTCTGTTGCCTCTTATAGAGAGCTGCCTATAGATAAGTGCATTGAACGGATGGATATTATGCTTATGAAACTTGTTTGTGAATGGCTTATTATATCGAGACGACTAGTAAAGGATAATAGTACTAACTAGTGAAAATTCTCTCAAATACTGCCTTTCTTTTCTTAAAGTACTGTATGGAGGAAAAATGCCAATATATAAAATATTTTCCAAAACAGATCCTTTACCAGCAGTCCCCACATTTTCAGCACAAAGGATGGGTTTCACAGAAGACACTTTTTCATGGTGGTGTAGGGATGAAAGTGGGAGAGGAGAATGATTTGGGATGATTCAAGTGAAATAGAGGGCTGTAAACACAGATGAAGATTCACTGGCTCGCCTGCCTGCCACTTACTTCCTGCTGTGCCCCCAACTTCTTTCCTGAAAGGCCACAGAGTTGCATAGGTTTGTGGCCCCCCACATACAACCCCCTGCCCATTCCTGATCTAAAATTACAGAAAAATAGTGAAGTCTGTTCTTCAATGAATTACCCTTTCACAATGAAGTTTTATTTACTTATTTTAAGCAGTGTATTATGCTTTTGTTTCTTTCCATGGCAGAATGTTTCTTTGTGGAGCCAGATGAGTCTTTTCATATTGGAACACCAGAAGAAAATAAACTCAACTTAACTTTGGACTTTCACAGGTGAGGGGAGCAAGTGGGAGCATAGCGTGTGTGTGTGTGTGTCCACCCTCTACAGTCTCCTATGTTTTCTAGGCTCCTGACAGTGGAACTTCAGTTTAAACTGAAGGCCATCAACCTGCAGACGGTTCGTCACCAGGAGCTCCCTGACTGTTACGACTTTACCCTGACCGTGAGTGTGTGCTGCCTTGCAGTGGCTCTAGTCTGGAGAAAAATTGTTTGGTCTCTTATATGTCTTCACATACTTGTGTTAAGGAGTGATTGAAAATATGTTACAAGTAAACTAGTGATAACAAAGCAGAGTTGGCTGGATGAGTTGCTCTCTGACTTCCTGGGTTGCTCTGAACGCTCTGGTTCATCTCCCACGCTTCAGCCCACCTATGTTACCTGTACTCCAGCTGCAGAAAGTGCTATAAAACTCTCCAAAGAGCAAGATGTGTTCTTGTGAGGTTATCATCTCACAAGATCAGAGTGAGTAACCCACTGCTACTTGGTCATTGGCCAAGGCAGAGTTTAAAATTTTATCTTTGTATGATCCAGATTTCTAGCAGCAGGAGTTTGTATCAAAAGCTATGTTCCTATTCTCAATTAATTGGTTGTGAAAAATCAAGTTTCAGAGACTGAGGCTTAAAAACTTTTCAGTATACATTATAATGTAATGATTATACAGAACATTTAACAAGCAAATGTCTGAAAACATGAGGCTATTTTGAATTAGACTATAAATTTTGGTCCTAATAGTAGCTAGCAAGTGATGAATTATCAGTATCATTTGATTTTTTAAAACTCAACGTGTCATTCACAGCCTCTCCTCTTTAAAAATGAAATTTTCAGAATTGTTTATAATTCTTGCACCTTTTTCACTGAACTTTTTGTGATTCTTGAATTAGAAATATATCCAGGCTCTAAGTTCATGGGCATTTTGTGGGTTTTTGTTGGTTTCCCTTTGTCACCCCCTTTTCATTTCCTAAGGGTTTAGCTCTTTCTTATTTTTAGGGTTTTCATCTTTATTTATCATTAATTTTGCTAGATTGAAAGCTCCTTGAGGGATAATAATCCCTCAAAGAGTATAGAGATGGCATAATATTTGTTAGATGAATAAATGAAACAGTTGTGAAATATGGACGCTTTCCATTGAGTGACTGAATTCAGATTATTCTGTTAACCACAGAGAGATTTGCTGTAGTTCCAGCACTATTGTTGGATCATCCCAAACCATTGACAGTGCATTGGGGAGTTAGCAATCTATCTTACAGAACTGTGGTCCTATAGGTTCAGTAATAAAAGCTGTCAACACAACTTTGTTTTTGTCAGGGCAATATGCACCTGATAGAAAATATAGGAGGGACTTTTGAGTCCAATAAGCCTAATTTCAGCTCATTAGTTAGTGATGTGTAACTTTAGGCCAATTCTTTAAGTGATCTGAACCTCAGTTTTCTCGTCTGTAAAGCAAAATTCATGCCTATCTCTATAACAAGGTTGTTATCAAGATATAATGTAATATATATATATATATATATATACACACACACAAAGGACCTGGTATGTATTAGAATGTAGCTGGTATATATTAGAAAACTAGTTCTACTAGGTCTCCATTGCAACTTTTTTGTGATAAGGTGGATCGAACCCCGCGTCTCACACATGCTAGGCAAGTGTTCTCACTAAACTACATCCCCAGCCCTCAACAACTAATTTTAAGCCTTTGCTTTGGTTTCCAACATAGACTTATAATGGAAAAACAGTGCGTCCTCATTCATGCACTATAGCTTAAAAATTTTTGTATCATGCATTGTGAAGCTCTTTATTAAATGTGTAAAGGTCTAGATGAACTAATTTTTATTATCATGAAGTGGTAATTTTATCCTCATTAATATTCTCTGCTCTAAAATCTGCCATTCTGGCTTTCTTTTGATAAGTGCTATATACCTTTTCCATCATTTTAATATTAATTGATTTATATTCTATATTAAAGTGATTTCTTATTAGGCACCATATAATTGCATCTTACTTTTTTTCATCTAATATCACAATCTCTGTATTTTAGTTAAAATGCTTAGACCATTTAAATTAGACCATTAATAGGATTATTAATATATTTTCCTGATATTTCTGTCTTCTTTTGGATTATTTTTTGTACTTCCACTTTATCTCATTTGTTAGCTTACTAAATCTCTTTGATATTTTATTTTGAGTTTTATTGTGCACAACCCTAACTTACTGAAATCTACCAAGTGATGTTATACCACAGATGGACAGTAAAGGAATCTTATAATGATACTTCCATTTTTCTACATAGGTTTTGTCATTGTTAGCATACCACTTACTTGTACACATGTTATAAATCTCACAACACTATTATTTTGTGTGAAGTACTCAATTATCTTTCAAGGTAATTTAAATAATAACCCAAAAAATCTTTATCTTCTTATGTAGTCATATATATGATGTGCATCATTCTTATTTATAACAAGTGATATCAGAAGATACCATTTTCCTTCTTCCTGAAGGGCTTCCTTTAGTGTTTCCAGTAGTATAGCTCTGCTGGTGGTGAATTCTTTCAGCTTTTTTATGTCTGAAAAAGTATTTTGCCTTCAGTTTTTAAAAGGTAGTTTCTCAGGATACAGAATTCTAGCTTGGCTGGCCTCCTGCCCTCCCCCTACCCAGTACTTTAAAGATGTCTTTTTAGTTTACATCATTTCTCATGAGAAATTAAATATGTTGCTAGCCTTGTCTTGTTCCTCTGGATGGGATGTGTTTCCTTCCTTTTAGCATTTTCTCTTTGTTTCTGCTTTGAAGGTATTTGGTTATGACGTGCCTCCATACCATTTTCTCTATGTTTCCTATGTTTGAGATTCACAGAATATCTTTGGCTTCTGAGTTTATAGTTTTCATTGTATTTTATATTTAATCATATGATGTCTTTGAATAGTTTTCTATCACCACCCCCCAACTTTCAGAGATTTCAGCTACATCTGTATTTGATTGATCTCTTGTCCCATAGCTCAATCATGTGCTGGCTATTTTATGTTCAACTTTTGATCTTGGTTTCATTTTGTGCAATTTCTTTAGCGATGTCTTCAAATTTAACAATCCTTTTTCTGTGCTTTCTAGTACTTTTTAATTCTAACCAGTATTTTTTCTGCTTTGAGAGACTCAGGTTCTCCTAACTTTTCCTTGAAATATAAGTAACAGTAAGTCATGGGTTATTCACCCAAGATACTTGATGAGCACTTAATACTTTTAAAATTCTGAGGCTTTTGTGGGTTTCTGACATTGTGCCAAATGGCACCAATCATCTTTTTGTGTGAGGCTAGAGGCCAGGTCCTCTGAAGTGATGTTTTTACTACCATAAATGGAGAAACTTCAATAAAATTCATTTAAATGAACAGACTTTTAACAGAATTTTATTTCTTCAGAGGGAAAAGAGAGAGAGAGAGAGAGAGAGAGAGAGAGAGAGAGAGAGAGAGAGAGAGAAGTGATTTTTTTTGTCTGTCCCCTGCATGGTAAAAAGGAGGGACTTAGCAGTGGACAGACAAGAAAGTTGGTCCATTTTCTCTCAGTGGGAAAACTGTGAAAGTATTGGGCATAGTTTTGTCCTGCTGGGTGCCTGGTTATCTCCTGGCACTTCTTGTCACCAAGCCCTCTGTAATACATATGGTATCAAAGTGACTAAGAGATCTACACTCAGAAAGAAAAATTCAAAAGCTTCACCTGAAATGGCTCAAAAGAGAAACAGTGAACTTCTGTGTTAGTAAAACTTGCAGAAGCACTGAAAATTCATCCTTTCCTGAAACTCTGCTGGAGGCTGTAACAAAGCACAGCTGTATGAGCTCTTGCCCTATCCAGAGGGCATCTGGAGGTCCGTAGAACGAGCAGGAAGGGAGGTATTCTTGTTATATGAGATATACAGGGATGAAATGCTGTCCTAGAAACCTAGGATATTAGACTACAATGTTTCTACAGTAATCTAATTGAAACTTCTCCATTCACAAAGAGTTAAAGGGAACTTCTCAAGATTGAATAGAGTTAGCAACAGGTAAGAAGTGAAAATCTGGGTCTGTGGTACCCTGATTAATGCATAGAGGTATCTTAGCTTCAGACACTAATACCAGCAGATCACATAGGTAACTTAGAAAGATCCTGTCTCAAAATAAAAGCGTAAAATAAAAAGAGCTGGGGATATAGCTCAGCTTTTGCTGCTGTGGGTTGTTTTGTTTTTCTTTACAGTACTGGGGACTGAGCCAGCAAAAGCAACTGCACATGCGTGTCTCCCCTTATTCTTGTCTTCACAGATAACATTTGACAACAAGGCTCATAGTGGAAGAATTAAAATAAGTTTAGATAATGACATTTCCATTAGAGAATGTAAGGACTGGCACGTATCTGGATCAAGTAAGTGACAAGCTTTACTTTCACAGTGGTTATTAAATAAGGTAAAGTGGTTATTAAGTTACTGTCTCCAGGGTGTATATAGAACACTAGCTAAAATATTTCCAAGTCCCTAATTTTCTGCGAGTATGTCAACATGTTGCAGACATTTGATGTTCCAGGAGATTCCTAAGTTGTCAGAATTGAAACTATCCCCTATATTCTCTGTGTGCCTTCACTTCCCTACTCCTCACTCAAAATGTACTTGCAGTCCCCCACCAAAACCCGATCTGTAGCCAAACCAATGTTTATTGAAAACATACAGCAGGAATTCTTCCATACCCATTTTTCTCATGTTAGTATTTTACAATTCCTTTGAGAGTCAGGCACACTGACTCATGCCTATATTCTCAGTACTCTGGGAAACTGAGGCAGGAGGATCTCAAGTTTAGGCTAACCCTATATACTTTAGCTACTCAAAGAGATCTTATTTCAAATTTTTAAAAAAGAGGTAGGGAATATAGGTTCAAGCATTAGTACTGAGGAAAAAAAGTCCTCAAGAAAATCCTTGAGACAGGTGGGATCCTTATTTTTACAGATCAAAGATCCAGGGCTCAGAAGTGACACCTGGTGTCCGTGGTCACCCAGTTAGGAAGGAGTCAGGTAGGGTTTGACTCGGAAGCCTCCCACTTAATCTTCCGTCCAGGTGAAAAGTAGACTAAATGTGGAAGTGTCAGTTCTCAGAAAGAATTCAGGTATAGACTGAGTGCTGGCAAGATTTTGGAGCTGAACAGAAGAAAACTATCTGGAAAGAATGTATCTATCTCATTTTCTAGTTCCTTGAATGTAACATAATGGTGGGTTGTGCAGGCTTCAGTCAGTAGGTCAGGGGCTCTTGGGGTGTAATGGGAAAAGGAATCACCTCAAGTACCCAGTAAGATGCAGTTTTCCCAGCTCTCCAGACAGTTAGGTGTAGGGTGAGGGCTATGAGCCCTGTAGGAAAGTCCAACTTACAGCTATCTGTGTTTAATAAAAAGTGTTTTTAATAAGGAAATTTACTTATGCACATTAACTATATTATATGTCTAACAACAAGATAATTTCTCTTCACTCACTACATCAGGTGAGTCAGGTGTTTCCAACCCAAAGGCGACAGGATGGATGTGTCCTCAGATTACTGTTTCTTTTTTTTATTTTTTTGGTAGCCGAGATAGAACTCACGACCTCGCACTTGCTAGGCAGGTGCTTATGGCACTGAACTATCTCCGGCCCTACTCAGAGTACTCTTGGATACTCATCCTGCTGGGGTTTCCTACTTGTTAGCTTACCATGTTAAGAAGTTATACTGAGATAACCAGCATAAATGAGATCATGTTTCATCATTATACTGCTCTTTACAGTAACAGGCAACTTAAAAGGTATACGTCTCTTTATCAAACTGTGTTCCCATCCCAAACTCATTTATTTGAAACACTAACCTGTTTTGTTGTATGAAGCATCATGATGATTTTGCAAACTTTAGAAAGCGAAAAGGAGAGCATCTGAAAGAGCCTGTCACCTGGACTTCCTCTCAAATGTTTGTTTCTTGGTTTTAAAGTTTTGTCAGATTGTGTTTTGACAAATTATGTGCTTCAGATTTTTCACCTGCAAAGTGGGGGTAATTGTGTCTTCTCATTGAGATTACTGTAAGCATCACCTAAGTTCATGTATATAAAGTGCTTGGAACTATGAGCAGTAAGAGATGTCCTCAGGACATGTCAACTGTGGTTTATTTTGCTTATGTCACGTCTGCCTGAAAATATTTTGCTCATGTACTTGTTTACTTATTTGCTTGTCTTATTGCAGTGGAAAGTTCCTTAAGATCAAGGGCCTTATTTGTCTTGTTTACCACTGTATGCCCGCATCTAGAAAAGTGCCAGGCACATTCCTGGGTGGTTAGTGACTACTTTATGTGGATGCTTAGCTAATACTTCATGTGGGTGTTTAATGAATACTTGATGTCCTGATTAAATATATGTTAATAGACTATAGGAAGGCATAGCATTCCACAAGCTGAAAATAAATGACCTTTGGTGCTAGGGTTCAGGCAATTTTCTAGAAGAAGAATTTTTAACCTTTAAACATTCATTGGAAGAATGTTTATCAGGGCTTCTTTCTGGAAAGAATGCTAGAATTATGTAAATTATTCTAACAAGAAACTAATATGGCAAGAAGAATGTCTCTGCGCACATGGTCTTTTTCGTTTTCAGTTCAGAAGAACACTCATTACATGATGATCTTTGATGCCTTCGTCATTCTGACTTGCTTGGCCTCACTGCTGCTCTGCGTGAGATCGGTGATTAGAGGGCTTCGGCTTCAGCAGGTAGGGCTGCTGCTCCGCGTGCTCGTGACGCTGCTGGCTTTCTGATTGGCAAAGAAGCTCACGGTGCCTCTCCTCTTTTCCCTAAAGGAATTTGTCAATTTTTACCTCCTCCATTATAAGAAGAAAGTTTCTGTTTCTGATCAAATGGAATTTGTCAATGGATGGTACATTATGATTATTATTAGTGACATACTGACAGTCATTGGTTCAATTCTGAAAATGGAAATCCAAGCTAAGGTAATCCCCCCCCCAATCATGCCATTATTAGTATCAGATTTAGGTGAATGACACTTTATACAAATGAGAATTTCAGGATAAATGATTTCTCTCTAGACTTATGGTGAGTCTTGACACTGAAAACAGTACTTTTCTTTACCCTAGTTAAGCAGGCACTTAGGCAGAGGTTTCCAAAATTTATTCCACAAACCACTGGGTCAGGATCATTTGGGTGCCTGGCAAAAATGCGCTATGTTAAACCTGCTGGGCCCATACCCTTATATGGGGCCCATGAATTTTAACACACACAAAACTTCATATATACACCAAGGTAATTAATTAAGGTAAGAGTTAAACGTTAAAAGACATGTCAAAGTCTTCAACAAAAAAAGGGCTGGAGGGGAAAGTGGGGTCAAAGTGCTATTTTGTGAGGGCTTCCATTTGTTTCTTCTATCCATTCAAAATGAGAATATTCCCATTTTCTTACTTTCCCATTAATAGGTTAATTTAAGATTGACCTCACCTAGAAATCAATCCCCCCTCCCACAAAAAAAAAAAACTAGTATAGTTCAAAATAATCTTGCTTGGTCTTCTAATGCAGTGGCTCAGCTAAGAAAGGAGCTTGTCTGTGTCTTAGAAAACAGTCGTGGTGGGTTTTCTAGGTCAGCACCTGTCAGCTCCATGCAATCATTAAGGGACCCAAGCTCCTCTCGGTTTGTTTCTCTACCATCCCTTAAGAGCTCACCCCGACTGTGTGACTGACCTGGGTCATCTCACAGCAGGTTGCAGCCTGTGGCCTATGAAGAATGAAAGCACCATCTAGTGGAAGCTCCCCCTGTCCTGTGGCCTTGGCTCAGAAGTGGCAGCTCTCATGTCTGTTCCCATCCCCCTGCTCAAACTGAACTGCGCAGAGAGCTGGGGAAGGCAGCTCAGGCCTGGGTCTGGGAAGGAGACGGTGCGTTTAGGTTGACTTTGAGTAGCTGCTGCCTCATGTGGCAACAGGATGTCATTCAACTTTAGGGATCAAAGAGAAAGGAGGTAGAGTGACTTGCATCAAACATTTATTTTTAGCAAGCTCTACTGTCGTTATCCTCAGTGAGCCCTCAGTGATGTCCAAATCCCTTTTCATTCTTCTGTCTGGATCACTCACCCTTCCTGTTTCATAGATGATCATTTCATCTCTTTTCTAACACTGCTCCCCATTCTCACTCTCAGCCAATGAATGACTTTACTTCCCATCTTAGGAGAAAAATAGGAAGAAAACCCCCAGAACCTCCACTAATTCCCACTTCACTTATCTGCCTAGAAGCATCAGTGCCACAGATCATTTCATCTTGTTACTGTGCATACCTTAGACCACCGTCCGAGACCTGTCCTGCTCATGTGCCAGGTGCTGCCCCAACTTGCTACCAAAGGGCGCCACTCTGGCTTCTCCTCCTCTCCAGAATCATCAGTTTTCTGACTCTTTATGAGACAGTTCCTGTTACTACATTTTTCTGCTCTCAGAGATAAAATCTCAGCCTTTATTTCTCTCTCCAGCTCCTCCCCCCATTCTCTGCTCCCCTTTTCATAGCAGAAGATCTCAAAAAAGTTGATCTTGTTGTGATTCTCCTCCTTCACTCTTCCTCATGCTGGCTCCATGAGGCTGTTGTGCCATCATGCTAAGTTCAATACTCAATCGGTTATCCTCATCATAACCCATCAGCGGTTTTAATGCTCCCAAGCAGGCTGTGATTTTGACTCACTTTTTCACTGGGCTGTTACTTACCCAGTTTCCCTCCAAATCACTGGTCTGCAGGTTGTGCCTTCCTGGTTCCCTCTTACCTTGCCAATTTGTGAAGCAGTAATGCTTCAGGATGTAGTGCTTGGACAGCTTCTCATCTGTCAAGGCCGTGGTAATGTCATCCTGTTCCAAACAGATACTCTAATCATCAGTGAGTCCCAAATCTGTATCTCCAGCTTGGAATTCTTCGCTCAACTCCAGACCCAAATATTCAAGTGTCTATGCCAATCAGCACTTGGATGTCTGCCTGTCCTCTCAAATTCAAGATAATTAAAACAAAACACAACACCCCAGCTCCACAGTTTGAATCTCCCTCAATTCCTAACAACTCTCTTCAGTTGCTCAAGCCAAAAGCTGTAGATTTATCTGACTCCTCTTACTCACTATCCTGTCTTGCACATCTAATCCAAGAGGATACCTTATTGCTCTGCCTTTAAAAATCACCTCATCAGTTCCACTGTGCCCAGCTCGTCCAAGCCCTCAGCAGTTCTCACCTACCTAAAGAAAGTAGCTCCTTCTCTTCTCCTGTGTGATCTGCTCCCAACCATAGCAGCCAGCATCTGGGCAGGTCACCCTTGTTCCCATTCAGGGCTCAGCTTCCTTTCTTCCTTTTTCTCTCCCTCTTCCTCCTTTTTCTTCTTTTTCCTCTATGTAGTAGGGATTGAATCCTGGGCCTTTTCACTGAGCTACAATCCCTGACCCTTTATATTTTAGACAAGGCCTCACTAAGTTGCTAGGTTGCCCAGATTGGGCTTGAACTTGTGATTCGCCTGTCTCAGCCTCCCAGTGTTCTGGAATTAGTGCCATGCCTACCTCTATTCAGTGCTTTTTAATCTTCCAAACCTATTCTGGGGAAAAGACAAAATTTCCCAGCACCTATGAGGTCCCGTACTACCTGCCTCTGACCTTTATGTTTCTGTATTCTTTTTATTGCTCAATCCAGCCAGACTGACTCTTTTGCCAGGCTGCCTTGTACCCCTGGGGCCTTTGCCCCACATGGTCTTCATGACTGCAAACTAGTTTTCCCTTAGATTTTTCTTGACCTGCTCCTTCATTCCTTTCAGACCTCTGCTTACATGGCACTTTTCCCTAATTCCCCTCTCAAGCCTAAACTCATACCCATTCTTTATACCCTCCCCTGCCTTTCTCCTGTGCACTTGCCCTCAGCTATTTTTATTTTTATTTACTATAAATTTATTTTTCTTTCTCTCTGCACCCTCGGTAGAATGCAGGCTACCTGAGGACAGGGAGTTTTGCGTGTTCACTGATGGATCCTTGCCACCTAAAATAGTGCCTGACTGACAGCTACCCAATAAGTATTTCCTGCCCAAATGATTTTCTGCTGTTTAATTTTTGTTTTCCTTTCCATTTCAGAGTCTCACAAGTTACGATGTCTGCAGCATACTTCTTGGGACATCGACCATGCTGGTGTGGCTTGGAGTCATCCGATACCTGGGTTTCTTCGAGAAGTACAATGTAAGGAATTCCGTGGATTTCTGGGCTGTTGCTATTCAGTTACTGCACTGCCTCGGATGAAGGGCAAAAAGATTTTGATGACCTCTCTTACTTTGCAGCTCCTCATTCTGACCCTTCAGGCAGCGTTGCCCAATGTCATCAGGTTCTGCTGCTGTGCTGCTATGATTTATTTAGGCTATTGCTTCTGTGGGTGGATTGTGCTGGGACCTTACCACGATAAGGTACTGATGAAATACTTTCTTCCTGTTTTCACTGAGCTTTAGACTAGAGCTGATGGGTTCTTTATTTTTTTTTAAAGAGGCTTATTTTATTTTGTGACTCATCCTTAATATGTCAAATGTTTAATTAATTTGATTGGTTTAATTAATTTGACAAGTTTAATTAATTTGATTGGTTTATAATGTATTAGAATAAGGGAAATGGGTAAGCTTTCTCAAAATGTGAATTTATTTTTAAAAAGTAGTATAGGGATAAGTGAATAGGGTATTCAAAAATTTTGCTACCAGAGCAATAATCTCAAACATTATGCATTTGCATACGTGGAATGAATGTTAAAAGGAGATGTCTGAGCATCAGATTTGGGACCTGGGTGTTTCTTGAGAAGCATTTCAAGGGTCCCATTGTATAAACGTAAAGGGGAAGGGGAAGGCTTGACTTAGTCACTGCGAGTACAGAACTGTCCCTTTTGCCTGCATTCAGCCTGCTTCACCTAAGAGGAGCACTGAGAAAGTGCTGCTTATCATAGGAAAAAAAGAGAGTGAACTTGTGCATGGTGCATACATCGCAAAGCAGAGGCTTGTGCTGCTCCAGGTTATTTGTTTGAAAAGGCTTATTTGGGATATGTGGCTTCACTATTTTTAATGTCATGAACAAAGGTTTTTAAGGGGAAAGAATGCGGAAGAAAATGAACTTTGCTATTTTTTTTTCCAGTTCCGTTCCCTGAACAGGGTCTCTGAGTGCCTTTTTTCTTTGATAAATGGTGATGATATGTTTGCCACATTTGCAAAAATGCAGCAAAAAAGTTACTTGGTCTGGCTATTCAGCAGGATTTATCTCTACACCTTCATCAGCCTCTTTATATATATGATTTTAAGCCTTTTCATTGCATTGATCACTGATACATATGAAACGATTAAGGTAGGTTTATTCTAAGTAGCAGCATTCTTCTAGAGTTTGTATTTTATAGTGCAATTTAGTAATTCAAGGCAGGAAACTGATGGAATGTTGATTTATTCAGGATAGAGAAAGACCTCAATTTTAGAGGCTGGGAAACAGAAGTGAAGGAGAAATAACAGTTTTTGGAATGTTGAATCTTGTAAGCAATGGTGATTTATCAAATCAGCATTCTAACATTTCATTAAAAGTGTAAATGTACATAGATTTGGGGTGAATAAAATAGATGCCACTGTGAAAATCCAAAACTTTGAGGAGAGCTTTAAGAGTACAATCTTCATAAAGAAAAACTGACCTCTTTATTTGGCATGTGTCACAACTGAACATACTACTTTCTGCAAAGTTTAATCTTAGGGCACAACCTCCAAAATAGCAGGGGGGTTAATGTTTCATTTATAGCCAGAGATCTGATTTTTAAAGGCTATCTACTTGAGCCCCTTGAAACATGGGAAGGCAGAATAAATATCTCTATGTTTAAATTTCTACTAATTTTAAACTGTTAAGTGCACTATTGGCATAGAGGCTTTCATCTGGGGACTTTTCCCAAATGAAAGAGGCACAGTTTAGGATTCCCAAGTATTTGCAGGAGATGCAGGGAATGAGAAGAATAATGAAACATTTTGCCATGTGACTGATCCTAGGGATGACAAGAAGGCCATGAGTTGGAGTTGTGGTGATGGATACCTGGCTCATGAAGCTTCGGCCACTTCACTCTTACCAAAGCATGTTTTAGGGACTGATCCTCCTCCTTACTCTCTTCAGTACTTGTTTGGCAGTTCTATGCACTGGTCCCAGTGTGACTGGGAAAGAATGCAGGTGTAAATACCCGCTTCTCTCCCCTCGTGGGTCAAAGGCATGACTTCACCTCAGCACACAGGGAACCAGATGCCATTCAGTGGAAGCCTCCATGATCTCTAAGAGTAACTCATAGTGACAAAAGACTGAGCCTCCCATTACAGATCCTAATCTCTTTCTGTGGGCTCAGGGCACTTGCCAAATGGGCAAACTAAGTGAGTTCTGATCTTTTATGGTCAGGGCCTGTCCTAGGGATTTCAGATCCTCGTATGATATGCATATAAGGTCCTTCACCATACCTGTCTACCTGGAGTAGTGACTGTGCAGGTTGGAAATGTGCCTGTGGCATTCGGATCTCTGTCCAGAGACCTAGGTCATCTCCAAAGTGTCCAAGACTTTGCTGAGATCATTTAAGGAAAACTAGGAATGTTCATTCTCAGCCCCCAAATAGCTCATTAATCTCAATCAGTTGGGTTCCGTCCAAGGAGCTTGATTTACATTGGCCTGGAAGTCATGATACACCAGGGCAGCCTGGTGATAGAGGCTCTCAGACTCAGGATATGGTTGGCTCAGTTCTCCCCAAAGAGATCCAGACTCCACTGCCCCCCACCGAGGGCTTCAGTAGACCTGGAAAAGTGGAGCTGCTCAGTCCCAGGCCTGCTTTACCTCAGCCAAAACTAAGAGTGACCCCCACGGCTGCATCTCCTGGAAATACTTGGGAACCCCAAATTGTGCCTCTGGAAAAAAAAGTCCCTCCCTTGCTAAATGATCCATTCTGAATTTGGAATAAAGTTGTTTTCAAGGGGCTTATTAACAAGAGCTTTCTCATTCTTTTCCACAGCACTACCAACAAAATGGCTTTCCAGAGAGCGAACTTCGTGCATTTATATCAGAATGCAAAGATCTACCTAGTTCTGGAAAATACAGATTAGAAGATGACCCTCCAGTGTCTTTATTCTGCTGTTGTAAAAAGTAGTTATCAGGTTGGCCTGCGCTCTAGAGGAATATGCAAAGTGGAGCTGAGTTGAGGAACCTGTATGGAGGTTTTATAATGACTTCAAATACTGTTGTTTTAGCTAATTAGAGCTTTCTGTAACTCACCAAGAACTGTGTTTATATTTTGAAATCATATTTTCTGCTTTACATTGGATGTAAAATAGTAACTAACTGTATTGAGGGAAAATACTGGATTATTATCCTTTCCTGTCTCTGTCGTTTGTTGGAATGTGTTCTCTGAGCTCTGCTTTACTCTGGCTGTGTGGATTTTGTTCTCAGTGAAACAGTCCTGGTCTGACTGTGATTTTGGATAATCTGGTTATGTTTCAGAAAGAATGTGGATAGTTACCATATACCCATTCTAATTGCATTTAAAGATCTTCTCTGAAAGGCCAGAGCAAGAAACAAGGGTCTCCAAGTAATGGTGTACTATTTGATTCTGAAGAACAGCTGCCATTCAGTCCTGCATTTACTTCTGTGGGGATAAAGTACTTTAATATTCATTTCTAAATGTCTCTGCCCCGTCAGTGTTAAAGTATGGATCTGAAAGGTTATCTCTACATAAAAGAGAAGGCACATAGCAAATGCATATCTAATCAAGCAATGACTGTCTCATTAGTGTTTCACCTGCACGTTCAGTCTTATGGCAAAGCACAAAAACTGTGGTTTTGTGGGGGAGGTCGCATAACAAGGCAAATGTTATTTTTAAAAATTTTTCAATTTTGTAGAGAAAAAAACAGTTTCAAATAAGTTAGAGAGTTATAATAATTAATACATTGCATATTATTGTCTTCACAGTAGTGAGAGGACAAGATACAGGCAGGATCTGACAATATTAGTACAAACCTTTCTTTTCAATAAATTAAGAGAAACTAGCTATATAGTTATCTTAACTGTCTTGTGTATAAATATATTTTTTCCTTTTCTCTTTGTTTTTTTCCCTTTCCCCCATCACAGTTTGTCTTTTCTTTTAAACAGTTCCTTCCCAGTTCACAATAGCTATTGTATATTTTGGATCTTATTTACTTGTTTAGTTTCTCACACTAGTGAGACAATATAGTATTTATACATACGGGGTCTGATTTATTCCACTTATGAGTGTGGTCTCAAATTGCATCCATTTTCCTGTAAGTCTCCAGTTTATTCTTTTTTATGGCTGAGAAGTACTCAGTAGTGCTGCTGTGAACATGAGTGAACACGTATCACTGTGGTATGATGTTTTTAATTCTTCTGGGAGGATTCTCAGAAGGGGACTGGCTGGTTGTGTGGGACCGCAAATCCTACTTTTAAAAGGAAATTCCACACTGACTTCCACAGTCTGGCTGTACTAGGCTACACTCCTACCAGTAGTGGAGAAGGGTTCATTTTTCCCACAGCTCTTCTAGCATTTGTTATCAGTTGATTTTTTGGATGATAGTTGTTCTTTCTGGGGTGAGATGGAATCTCAGTATTGTTTTAATTTACATCTCTCGAATGACAAATGATGTTGAACATTTTTTCATGTATTTATTTTCCAGCTGTATTTCTTCATCTGAGAAGTGTGTATTCCTCTCTGATGTCCATTTTTGGATTGTATCTTTAATTTGGGGTCTGAATTTTTCAATTCGTTTTATATTCTAGATAACTGGATATAATTATCTGAAGGATAACTGGATATAATTTTTTCCCACTCTGTGGGTTGTCTTTTCACTCTGTTAGTGATTTATTTTTGTTGTAAAAAGCCTTTTTAATAAGGTGAAATCCCATTTGTTGATTCTTTTCTAACAGTCTTGGTTTTGTTCATGAAGTCTTTGCCTACACCTACGTCTTTGAGATTTCTACTTATTTTCTCTTCCAGTAAATTTAGTGCTTCCATTTCAATATTTAAATCTTTGATCCATTTTGACTTTAGTTTAGTGCATGGTAATAGAAATGAGTCTAGTTTTAGTATTCAGTATGTGGAAACCCAATTTTTCCAGCACCATTTATTAAAGAGTCCATCTTTCTTCCAGTAAACATGTTTGGTTCCTTTGTCAAATATAAGGTGGCTGAGTGTGTTTGGGATTGCCTCTGCATCTTCTGTTTTATTCCACTGATCCTCAGGCCAGTGTTTTGGGTTTTTTTTTTTTTTTTTTTTTTTTTTTTTTTTTTTTTTTGCCGATACAATCTGATTTTGTCACAGTAGCTTTGTAGTATAATTTCAGGTCTGGGATTGTGGTGCCCCCTGACTGTCTTTGTTGCCTAGAATTGCCTTTGCTATCCTAGGTCTCTTCGGGTTCCAAATGAACTTTAGGAATGTTTTCTCTAGATCCGTGAGGTATGCTAATGGTATTTTGATTGAGATTACATCAAAGCTGTATAGCAGTTTTGGGAGTATGGCCATTTTGACTATGTTGGTTCTTCCTATCCAAGGGAAAGGAATATCTTTCCATTTTCTGATACCCATTTTGATCTCTTTTTTAAAGGATACTGTACAGATCTTTTATATCCTGTGTTAGATTGATTCCTAAGTATTTTGAGTTTTTTAAGATGCTGTTGTAAAGGGTGTGCTTTCCCTAATTTCTCTTTCTGTGAACTTGTTGCTTGTGTACAAAAATGGTATTGATTTTTGAGTGTTGACTTTATATCACCGTACACTACTGAATTTGGATATTAAATCTACAAGTTTTTTTTGTGGAGTTTTTGGGTTCTTTATGTAGAGCATCATATCATTTGCAAATAATGATAATTTAACTTCTTACTTTCCTGTCTTTATTCCTTTTATTTTCTTCTCTTGTCTAATTGCTCTGGCTAATGTTTCCAGAACTGTATTGAATAAGAGTGGTGATAATGAATATTCTTGTCTTGTTTCTGATTTTAAAGTGAATTCATCAGGGCCTGGGCTTTTCTTTGTTGATAAATTTTAATTACCTTTTCAACTTCATTGTCTGATATCAAGCTATGTAGAATTTTTATATCTTTTAGTTTTTTGGAAACTCAGCTGTGTCTAAGAATCTGTCCATTTCTTCTATTTTCTGTCTGATTAGAATATAGGTTTTCATAGTAGTTATTGATGATCGCCTGGATTTCTGTGGGCTCTGTTGTCATTTTCCCCTTTTAATTCCTAATCGCTTGAATTTGTGTTTTTTCTTTTCTCATTTTGATGAGGTTGGCTAATGGTTTATCAATTTTATTTATTCTTTCAAAGAACCAATTTTTCAATTCATTGATTCCTTGTATTGTTTTATTAGTCACTATTGCATTAATTTCTGCTCTTTATAATTTCCTCCCTCAAATAAGCTCTGGGTTTGATTTTGACTTGTTTTTCTAGAGGCTTGAGGTTCAACATTAGGTTATTTCAGTTTTTTCTGTTTTCTCAATGTGTGAATTCATTGCTATAAATTTTCCTGGTAGTTCTACTTTCATTGTATCCCATAATTTTTGGTATGTTGTACAGGCATTATTTAATTGTATATACTGTTTAATTTCATCTTTAATTTCTTCATTGACTTGTTCAAAGGGTATTGTTTAGTTTCCACATTTTAATGTAGTTTTTGTGATTTACTTTATTGTTGATTTCCAGTTTCATTACACTGTGGACAGATAGTAGGCATAAGATGATTTCAGTTCCTCTCACTTACTTACCCATGTTTAGTCAGGTAATATATGGTTTATTTTGGAGAATGTTCCATGTGCTGAGAAGAATGTATATTTCTGATATTTTGGAATGGAACACTCTGTAGACATCTACCAAGTCCCTTTGTTCACAGGCTTGGTTTAATTCTAATAATTCTAATTCTAATTCTAATTCTTTCTTTCCTTGTCTAGTTGCTGTAGCTATTTGTGAGGGTAGGGTGTTAAGGTTCCCCACTACAACTGTGTTAGTGCTTGTTTGGTTTTTTAGATCTGTTAGTATTTGTTTTATGTAGTTGGGTGAACCTGTTTTTGGTGCATAAATATTTATGATTGTTATTTTTTCTTGGAGTGTTCACTGAATAAATATGTAGTGACCTTCTTTGTCTCTTTTGGCTTAAAGTTTACGTTGTCTGCAAATAGAATTGTTACCACTGCTTTTTTTCTGAGTTCATGTGGCAAGGAAAATTGTTTTTCCACTCTTTGACTTTTAGTCTGTGAATTTATTTTTTTTTAAAATGTGTTTCTTGAATGCAGTCTATTGTTGGATCTTGTTTCTTGATCTACTCTGCCATTCTATTTCTTTTGTTTGGTGAGTTGAGACCAATCAAAATACAGATAATCCACATTGGTGGCTATAACTAATATGTGTTGGCTTTTCTTCTTCATGTTGTTTTCCTGTTTTTTGTTCTCTGCTTTTCTCTTGTTTGTTTGTCCTGATTGGTGGCTTCTTTCTATTTGTGGTCATGTGTTTGTGGTCTTCTTTATCTCTTTCTAATTTGTCCTTCAGAGCATTTTGTAGAGCTGGTTTGGTGGTCATAAATTTCTTCAGTTGTTCTTTATCATGGAAGTACCTTGTTTCTCCATCAATGTGCAAGTTAGTTTTGTGGGGCATATCAATCTTGGTTGAAGATTGTTTTCCTTCAGGGCTTGAAATACTTCACTCCAAGGTCGCCTTGAGTTGAGGGTTTGTGTTGAGAAGTGTGATGTTATTCTGATGGACTTTCCTTTATAGGTTATATGTTTCTTTTCTCTAGCTGTTTCTTAAATATTTTATTCTTATGCTGAATTTCTGGAATCTTGATTGTGCATCTACACCTTGCCTTGGTGTAGTGCAAAAGGTAGTTTGGACAATTATGTTCAAAATTAAAGATCAATGAGAAAAGTGTCCTTCTTGTAATCCACTGATTGTAAATTACAGCAGTTTTACAATGTATTTGTTTTGGTATTGTTTATTCAAATGGAACGTAATTTAATGATATCAATAAAATTTTTCTCAAAGCAAATTCTTTTTAAGGAAACTGATTTTTAAATTTCTGGTTTTGTCTTAAGAGCTTAATGAAGATCAACTTGAGACACTGAAATCTTATCACTTAATCATAGTTACGCCCATAATAGTGATTTCAAGTATTGAAATTCAGGTGTGAATTTTATAAGAAATATAAGCTATTTATACAGTACTGGTAGCCCTGAAAAACTGAAAAATTAAAACTTCTAGATGAGTATTTTGGGGAATCAGTTTTTAAGATTTTTAGAAATTTTTTCATTTTTAGAATTAAGGACGCAATATAAATTTTAAAATCATGCTTACTATTTGCTAAGCCTTTTTTGTTACTCCTCATTTTCCAGATAACAGTAATACTGAGCTTTTCCAATTAACAGTAATACTTCAGGGGACACACGAAACCACTAAGCCACCATTGGTCCTAGAGTTTCGCTTTGCTTTGAACTCACTATGTTTCTTCCCATAAAATTAGAGCCAATAACTTGACACCTTCACATTTCTTGGTTCTCGGGTAAGTTTCCTTCATGTGGCAGGAGTTCCAGATAATTCGCAGTCCTACTTTTTAGTAATAGTGCCTGTTATAGTTTAGATCTAAAATGTCCCCCAAAATGCTCATGTGTGGGAAGTGAATGGAGCATGGGCTCCTGACCAGGATGGGTGTGTCTAATTCCCTGGCTCCTCCTCTCTCTCCTTCTCTTTGCTTCCTGGCTTCCATGGGTTGAACACCTTTTCCTCCACCAGGCCCTTCTACCATGCTATTTTAGCCTTGGAGCCAGCCAGTGTGGGCTGAAACTGAGTCAATGTAAATCTCTCCGCTTTTAAATTGTGGGTGTTAGATATTTTTTTCCCAGTGATGAGAAGATGACTAAAACAGTGCCTATTGACAATTAATCTTGGTTGTTAACTTGATTTGTTTGAGAGATGCCTAGGAGATCATTAAAGCACTCTAGTCCTGGGAGCATGGGCCCAGGGACTATATCTGGTTCCTGGCCCCTTCCTCTGTACCAGGAACAGGTGGCTCCCTTTCTTGAGGTCACAAGTAAAAAATTGTCCATGAGGGTCAGGATTCAGACTGGCCTTCTATGAGTCAATAAAGAAAGCGTTTTATCAAGACAGAAACCTCAAATTAGTGGGTTTGTAACTGTCAACTCTGATATTTTAGGATTTGTGTTTTCTGTTAAAATCATTTTCAATAGACTTGGGTTTTATGGATGCTATATTGCCTTTAAGCAATTCAAGTACCATGTTCTTCTTTTATTTTAATGAAAATTTAAAATCTAACACATACTGAGTTTTAATCATCTTGTCTCAGCACACCATTTCCAAATTAAATTAATAATGCAAATGCACAAGTGTATGGATTAGATGAGAAAAAGATAAAAGTCATTCTCTTAGTTACATTTCTTTTGTTCCTGTGACAAAATACGCAACACTCCAAAAGAATGAAGGAAAGTTTATTTAGCTCACAGTTTGTGGAGGTATCAGTCCATAATCAGCTGGCTCCAACTACCATCACACTCATTATTTGCTGATGTCATATCTACATAGCAAGCCTAATTGAATCTACAAATTCTCAAAACTTAATTAAAAGAGTCAATGAAGTCACTGGGTATAATAATCATTGGTAATCATCTAGAAAATATAATCAAAATGAAATAACATTCACAACAGAAAAAAATTAGAAACTACCCAGCAATTATTCTCAGGTATAGAAAACACAAGACCTTCCTAGAGAAATGTCTATAGAGAAAATGTCCTAGAGAAAACTCTATTATAGACAGAAAAGAAGATCTGAATAATTGCAGAGATGATGTTTTTATGGATAAAGACAACAGTACAATACAATAAAGGTGCAGTACTATTCAGTGCAGTCCATAAATTCAGTCAACAGTAAACATCAAGCTGTGCTGTTTGAAACTCAAAAAAATTCTAAAATTCATAAGAATAAAAGGTTCATTAATAGCTAAGTCAAGTTTGAAAAGTAAGGGAAAAAAGATTTATTGCACTCTATATTAGGCTATGCTGTACCCTGAAAAACTGTCTCTCAAAATTAATGGAGAAATAAGATGTTTCCAAGACAAGGAGCAACTGTGGGAGTTCATGGCCACCAATCCAATCCTACAAAAAATACTGACAGACATTCTAAAGAAAGAGAGAAAAAAATACCAGGATTCCAAGGAACAGTGGCAGAGAGGCCTCAATGAACGAGCAAACAGTGGAATGAAGGAGAAAAGTGGACAAATAATAGCAGAAAAATAGAATAGCAGAGATGAGGCAGAGAAGGTTGGCTATAATCTCTAATACAGATAGCCTTAATACACTAACAAAAAGAAACACAGGCAGAGTAGATTAGGAGGCAGTTTCCATCGAAATGCTCTGAATATGAAATAAACTCAACCTGAAAGAGGGTTAATACACTGAAAGTCAAAGATGAGAAAATGATGCTCTATGTGACAGGGAACCAGAGAGAAATAGGCACAACTTGTCCAGCAGCTGCAGATAGGTTGGAAAGTCATGATACTTTTGTGCAGTGTAGAACTACACAGCTAGAAGGAAAGAAAACCTTGTGGCTTTAGTAAGTAAAGGAATACAGCTCAAGATCAAGCTCAGGGGTAAAAAGGTTCAGCAACACTCAGATAGATAATGGGTTGACCCCTATTCTAAAAACTAAAGGGACCCAAAACGTACAAAGCATCCTGAGAAAGGGAAAGGTGAGGAACTGCTAAAAAAGGAAGGCAGAGGACATTGTTAATAGTGTATCAAAATTTAAAAGCCACAGTAATATTATCGCTCTGTTTAGTTTGATTTTATTTTGTTACAGTCTGTCTACTCATACTAGATTTGAGGGAACAGACAGCTATTCCAAAAATAGCAGACTATACCACAATAACTATCCTTAATTTCCTATTAACTTAAACTGAAGCCCTGTATTACTTACATTGTCTTACTATGACTGATCTTATTTGAAGCTGGTTTGTTAGGCTGCTGTTTGCCTTGACTGATTTTATTTGAATTTGGTATGCTTGATAGTATAAAGTCTTACAGTAGAGGCAACTACTCTGAAGATGACAAGATGTAATAAGATACCCATTCTGGTTTGATTATTAACTGCTTTTGAAGTCCTACAATGTCTCCAAAGTTGTGTTTTTATTAAAATAGCTATGTAATGCTATGTTCAATTGTATTATGTCTGATGATGTGGACAATTCTATTGAAAATAACAAGAAAAAGCATAGTAACTACTGTAGATCACCTAATATTGTGGTTTTATATGTCTTTTTCATTTCATGCTTTTTTTAGGAATTTGTTTTGTTGTGTTGTTTTGATCTATTTTTTCCTATAATACAGAAAGTATAGATATACATGTAGAGATTCACACATGGGGAGAATTTCTATACAGTTTACAGGAACAGATTATATAATGCACAATGTAATAAACAGATACTCTGAAGAAGAAGAGACACTAAAATACCCAATGCTAATTCTGTAGCATTATGATATAAAATCTAGCAATACTATTATTCACTATTCAGAGTGATATTAGTCTAGTCTCTTATGTTCAATTTCAGCATACATAAAGATAAGGACAGCTACTACGAAGAGAATGAGAGACATTATGGCATTCATTATTGACTTTCCCAGTGTCAGGTCTTGAAGGCCTAAAAAGCCTTTATCATCCTGGTATGATTAGATTAATTCTATAATGTTCAGTATGTATTCAGTATGTGTGAAGATGGGGACAACTATTTGGAAGAGAACTAGAGACAATATGATAGACAGTGAAAATCTCCAGTGGACTTGCTTTGAAATCCGTGTTTCTTGAAATTGTTTCCTTATGATCTGTTTTGTTCTGTATTGTTATGTTTAATCTTACCCTCTTTAAAATAAAAAATAATTTAAGTGTAAATTGAGCAGAATACTCAAAAAATCTATATGAAGAAAAATTTTTAAAACTTCTATGAAAAGCTTTTAAAACTTTTAAAATTTTAAAACTAAAATTTTTTAATTTAAAAAAACTTCTATGTGGGGCTGGGGATTTAGCTCAGCAGCATAAGCGCCTGCATTGCAAGCAGGTAGTCGTGAGTTCGATCCCTGGTACCGATGAAAAGGAAAAAGACGCCCCGCTGGACCGGTGAGTGGAGTGGCAGCTTCAGGGAGTCCCACCCAGACTGAGGGAACCTTCTCCCTGGCCTGTTTACCAGGCCGGCCCCGCTGGACCGGTGAGTGGAGCAGTGGTGGCTGGGAATTGCGCCTAGCCTTAGGGAACTCTCTTCCTAGCCTGGGGACCAAGCCCTGATTCCCTGCCGGGTCCAGTGAGTGGGGCCACCACAGGGAACCCCATCCCAGACTGGCAGAATTCCCTCCCACACCTGGAACAACACTTGAAGCTCCAAAATACAAGAAGATGACAAAATGAAAGACCAAAATACAATCTCAAACATCCAGCCCATCCCAAGAAAGCCTAGGAGCCATGTGCATAGAAGAAAACACATGCCACATTAACTGAAATACCTGAAATAATAGTAACTGAAGTAAAGAAGCAACTCTGGGAAGGCTTAAAAGAATTCAAACTAGAAATAATCTCTCAGGTAAAAGAAGAAATGATAAAAGAAACGAAGCAGATGCTAAACATAGCTAAAGAAGACGCAGTTAAAAAATTGGAGGAACTAAACAAAAAGATAGAATCCCTGGATGAACAATATAAGAAACAAACAGAATACATAAAACAGATGCAAAGAGATACACAGGGAAATAAAAAACTCCGTTGAAAGTTGTAAAACCTGCCTCAATGAATGTGAAGATAGAATCTCAGACCTCGAAGACAAGATTGCAGCCAGTGAACAGAAAAGAAAAGATCTTTTAAAAATAACAAGAAATCAGGAAATAACAATTCAACACCTGCAAGATGATGCAAAGAGAAACAACATAAGGCTGATAGGGATAAATGAAAAAGAAGGGGACAACATAAAGGATGTCAAGAGGATATTTAGAGAAGTAATA